GCTGCCCCCTAATGGTCGACCAGACCTTTCACTGATTTCACTGGTCGCTTAGTCGCAGCAAACTTCATTAGGAGCGTCAAACTTTATTAGAAACTGTGCCTTGTAAGAATAAATCAAAACCTATATGACTGCACCATGGGGGAATTTAATTTGAAAGGACAGACACAGGAAGTGTCCACGCTCAGCAGTCAGACAGGAGTCAGCTGCATGCCCATTAGCCCACAGCGTCATTAACAGGCAGCTCGCTCAATGTGTGACATGCACTTGTAGATAAAATATAGGCCTATATTAATGAAGGTTCATTAGTACGCTTTTGTACTTCTCTGTAATGTAGCAGAGTGTTAACAATGTTACTGATACTATTCTTTCTCACACCTTCAACTCAAACCATTGTGTTGCCCCGCCCAAAATATATCATTTAATAATTCAATTAATACCATAAACATGTTGGCGACTCATCAACTAATGGTCCTAAATGACGACTATTGGTCAACAAGGAAAATTCTTAGTTGGGGGCAGCCCTAGAAATTACATTTGTGTTTTGGACACAGTCACTTACAAATACATAATTTTGCTGTCTTAATTACCAGAGGGACACAAAACGAAAAGAAAGAATAAACTACTTTGATAAAGAGCGAACAAAACAAAAAGGGAACTTTTGATCATGAAATGTAGGAAAATACTGAAAGTACTGAACTGTGGAATGTTATATCTTCTATATTTATTAAATGATTTTAAAGCTAAGCTTAAGGACTGCTGTTAAAATCTTAGTGAATCCAAAATTTCATCTCCTCCATTGGTCCATTTAACAGTTCCCACAACACTCTGTTAAATTTGACAGATACTTTAACAACTGTCTGTCAAACCTGACAGTCAGTGTAACTGTCAAATGGACCTGTCAATATCAGAGTCCTGGGGAAACGTGACATTCTGAAAATCAAAAAAATGATGCTCACAAAAGTCAAAAGGGGGATTTTTCTGCAAAGCACAAACTGTAACAACAGGCTTGACTTCAGGGTGATGGGGAGCTGCTGCTACACCTCAAATAGTTTTGTGTCATGATGGTATAAATTCTGCCTCAATGGCTTTTCTAGTATCAAAATCAGATTTAAATAATTCCAAACACCAACCATGAATCTAATCAGCATAACTCTTTAAATAATATAATTATATCAACACCATATGTCTGTCTTTTCAGTGTAACTCGTGGAGGGTGAGGTCATGGTGGCATGACAGCAGAGATTCATGCATCAGAAGGCGGCAGACTACGTATGAGACATGCACAGTTTGGACAGGAAATGCCCGCACAGGCTGACTAATCCCAACTGGTCCTGCCTGTAAACTGCTGAGTGGACAAGCAGATAATCCTGACGACAGATGGCGGCAGAGAGGAGGGAGGAGGGCTCGCTCTGCTCTGCTGAAGCTCTCAGCAACTTTCTATCACTGCAGAGCACATCGGCCAAGAGGCTGGGATGAGTTAAAGGGGAAAGATGGAGCAGAGCATGATGGGAGGGGGGAGGAAGTGGGTGACACTATTTGATAATTCAAAAGGGTATGACCTGCAGGTTTTAATCTTAAATACAAAAATAAAAATGGTTGACTGAAGTGACAACCATTCCTTTTGACTGCAGTAGAAGTGGGATAAATTATAAACGAGTAAAATGGACAAACAAAGCATGTTATGAATGTAAATCAAATGTCTTTCTTGATGGCTAGAGGTCAGAGAGGTCACCACCATTTTACTTACACCACTACATATCTGGAGACAAGTGGGTTTAAGAGGACGGGGGTGAAACGGACAGTAAATTTGAGAGTTCGGCTGCACAAAGAACCTGGGATGTTTCCAGTAAGAGTGGCCTGGTCAGCAGCAGACAAAAGAGGCCTGCACTCTGCTGGGCTCCAGCCAAACTGAGACAAACAAGCCCATCATTCAGCAGCTCGGCTCTCCTTACTCCCTCATCCTCATCCTCATGCTGCTCGTCAGCAAACAGGCTGTCTGTCTGTCAACAGGAAGACTCATCACCTTTCCCCCCCCACACTGCTGTTCCACCCACCAGACGTGGATACCAATGTGTCTGCCGTGGTGCAGTGCAGGATGATAAGATCCCACACACACAGGGTACAGCAGTACTACAGAACCCACAATGCAACAGCAGACACACCAGCACGGGGCTGCCACTTTTAATGAAAAATGGGGAAAAACATGTCAACATTTGTTTTGTAAAGATTTATCAGAATCCCAAATTCATAAACAGTCAGTCCAACATGCCTTAGGGATGGGTATCATTTAAAAACTTATAATACCAGTACCAATACTGGCTCCCTTAAAATGATAGTGATACCAGGATACGTCATTCAGCACCCATAATGTTGAGAGTGACCTGTAGTAGCCATAATTTTCAACCTTTGGGTGGCATCTCGGCACGCTAAACTGCCAACCCTCTTAAATACACTGCGCTAGGGTTGCAGCATTCACTTTGATCCCACCTTTGATTCATAGCAATAGTTACGTGGGCTCGCTTTAACACAAAGTAAAAGAATCTAGCGATCATGACACAAAACCATCTGAAACAGTGTGTAAACATTTTGGATTGGAAACCAGAGCTATAAAAATTTAGATCAAGGTAAAGCGGTTTGCTGTTATACAGTCACGTTACATCATTATTAACAAAACTTGTAGCTTGTTAGCCAAGTAAATTCTAATTTTCATATTAGCTGTGTTCAAACTTGATTTTCTGAAAAAGTGACAGCCCTTTCAAGTCGGTATTCTAACACGTAAACTCGGTTCGGTTTGTCAACTGAGCTGCAGTTGTAAACTTCTTGGTGTGCACTACAAAAACTGTTACTGATAAAAAAAAATTCTCAGTACTACATGAACCTAAGTGAATCAAAACTCTACTGAGTTCAGTCTAAAAGAATCAAGCAAAGAATTTTCAACTTCCGACTGAAATGCAACCTTGATTTGTAATGTGGAGTCGCAGTAGAAATGCACAGTAGAAATAAATTGTGTGGTCCCAAAATAATAACACACTGAGGCGTGGATCAATCTGATATGACTTGACATTAGTGTTGTATGCATGCACCGCAGTCTCGTTTTTGCATAGATTGAATTTGCAGGACATACAAAAAGGCCATAGATGCACACTCAAATCAGTTAGTTCACTATAAAGCTTGAATGACCAAGAATATTAAAATGTTAAATTAACCTCAGGGACGAGATTGTGTGTGACACTATCCCTGCTGCATTCTTAAGAAAATAATATCTTCTATTTACTCTTTCATATGAAGAAATAATATTCTCAAGATCAAAGTGAAGCATTGATTAACTTTCATAAAAGCCTTTAAGATAAATGTCTTTATGCAACTGTGAATCCAACAAGAACAAAAGAAAAAATGGTCCTTTCAGGTGTAATTATGTCGAGATATAGGTTTGTGATGAAACTAAAACAAGAGCTCTGAAAACATTACGTATATACGAGCCCTGTGTGAAGTGCTCAATGCAACAGCTGATACACAAGTGCATATAAATCTGTGGAGCCTCGGGGAAACTAAACACATACTGGATGTTATAGATCCATTTCAGGAATAATCTCTCCTTATATCTTTCACAAACTTCAACCCACTGTGTAAGTTTGCCCCAGTGAGCCAGCGCTCACCTTATTGCTCTGACCTTGAGTTCCCCTGAGTTCGTCCCACATTAGGCATCACCGCGTCCCCATCACCCCTTTTTCTCTGAGGTCTGAAGAGCAGAACTGACTGACGTTTCACGGGAGGAAACAAATCCTCCAACAGCCTCGATAATTGACCATAAGTGACCCTCAAAGACTGTCGTCCCAAGCTGCCCTACATCAGCACTGTAGAGTTTTTATGGCAGCTACAAATGCTCCAGTGTTATCTAAACAAAGATGGTGGATTCATAAGATGAATCTCTCAGTAGCAAGAAATCTAACTAACCCTCACATATGCAAAATGATATAGACCTAACAGAAATTATAAACCTTGCACTTCGGTGTAAATTAGTCCAATGATATTATTAGGGATGTCCCGATCAAGTTTTTAGCCCCAATCCAAGTCATTAAATATCAAGGATCTGCCGATACCGATTTCCGATCCAAAACTTCTGTTTACCTAGATCAGAGGTTGGCAACCTTTACCATCAAAAGAGCCATTATTGGCCATATTTTAGCCTCATAATAAAGCTGATACAGCCTTTTAAGTCAAATTTTGCCTATCCACGTTATTTACAGATCTAAAAGAGCATTCATTAATATGTTTTTAGCACAAGGTGGCTCCTCTGCAGTGGGCTATTTTTGATTATTGGTACTTAAATTTTGCATTCAATAAAAGCAAACGAATTTGTCCACACACTACTAAATTCTCTGCTTTCTTTTGAGACTTCTCACTTTTTGGATTTGGAATAGACAGCTAGCCCAGCGAAGGTGGAATATATATTTCTGTGTCGGCTCTGCATCAACGTAGAGCCTACACCGTACCCTTCGCCATAGCCTGACATGCACCTCCCCAGAGATGTAACTACACATAGCAGCAACCCAGACCTCCTGTCTGTTTCTGTAAGCTGAAACCATTTCCCTCAGTGGAAACAAAGCTTATATTTACTTTAGTTTCACAGATAAGAAACAATAAATTGTGAAGACAATAAAGCCTCCACAAAAATAGTATTTTAAATCTTATGTGTGATTTATCCTGGCTTCATATGAGCAGAGGAAATCTCTGCTCGTCGCTAGGCTAATTTTTACAATGTAAAATGCCATAGGCTTGTACTAATAACGTTAGCATGTTATATTTGCTAAGAAAACGTGTTTAGTATAAGACAGTTGTTTTGTCAGTGAACTTTGTGAGTTGTAATGGAGTTTAATTTTGTAATGTTACTTTTGTTAAATGCTGCTGTTGTCCCTGGCTTCATATGAGTAGAGGAAAAGTCCGCTAGCTGCTAGGCTAATTTATACAATATAAATCGCCATAGGCTTGTGCTAAAAACATTAGCATATTGTATTATCGGGTAAAATGTGTCCAGCAAAAGACAAGTGCTTTGTCTGTGAATGCTGTTATAGTGAAGTCAATTTGTCTTTCAAATTTTATCTATTAAGCCATGTTTAATGTGCGTTTAATGTGTGTTTTGGGTGTGTCTGAGCTGCAGGTTGCCTACCCCTGGCCTAGATAATACAGCTGAACAATGCACACTGCAAGTGCTTTAAAGGTATGACACTCAATCCAATGTATAGCCCATGCATGACAATCAGATAGATCTGCAATGCGTTAAGAAAAAACTGATTAGGCTACACTGATATATTACTCTCATTGGCTTTTCCACGAGGAGCTTTTGGTGCACTCGCAGGGGCGTTGTGAGAGTGGATGTCGTCGGTTCTGCACCGCTGTCTGTCTCTCCCCGTGCAGGGTGGTGAAACACCGTGCGTCATAGTTGAAAGCAAAGCATAGAGACTTTCACACAAATGGTGTTCTGTGGCACACTGGTGTGTCGTGGGATTTTATGATCGCACCTTATTATTGCAATTCAACTGGGCCTATACAAAAGTTATGAATGAATTTTAAATTGACTGTACCAGTATGTTGTGCGCACCCATTTCCTAATAAAGAGGCAAACTACCTAAAAATGTAATTCAATTTAATTAAATTTTAAAAAAAATTCACGTTATTGGTGCTTTTATGTAATTTCAAAATTTTTAAAATGAATTCTTCAATCATTTTGATGATAAATATTTCACGAGTAATCGTTTGTTGTCAATTGTTATTTGATATCAGTAAATAAAAACAAACATTTATGTCACAATAAGAGTGATAACACATGTTACAGAGGCTATTGTGCACAAATATAAATACAGGATTGTACATAACTTCAGTAAGTAACTTAACAGTCTCATATGGCGTTTTCTTTTATGACCTGTGGTGTTTTGCAGCGGGCAGGGCTCAGCCACTGCTCCTGCTCTTACACATAGAAGCCCAGCAAAGTGGAGGAGAACAGACAGGGGGGAGTTGGAGAGTTGACACAGCTGCACTTGTTGCATCACTGTGCATGAAAGTTTCATGAGTAAAAACATTTGTGTGACAGCTGATGTAAAACAAAGGATTGGATGGGGCTCTATATCGCTCAATAAAGCAGATCCAGATCAGTTAAAAATGCCTTGATAGACCCTGATCCAGATCTTTGAGACAGGATCGGGACATCCCTAGATATTATGTAACAGAGGGTCATATCTTAGCCCTGTCTGTATGTTTTTCATTGTGATATATTTGAGGTCTTGCTCGAATTTTGTAGCATCAGCCTAAGATTTTGAGAAAAATCCAGCATGAGCTTGTTTTGTGCCGTGCATATCATAAAAATCCGTCTTGTGAAAATGAAGAATAGTTTCCACAACTGAGGTAATCCCTTGTTGGTGCCACCATTCTCCAACTCCGACACTGGCGGATATTGCCCAACTGAATTCCTGAAAGCTTTCTTGAAAAGGAAGTAAAAGTATTCCCAAGAGCATGAGTGCAGCATTAAATCCTTGGGGGTGCACCATGCATACAGAGCTAGCACCCCGTCGAAGGGGATGGCTTCTGGAAAACAAATGAGCCCGGGCCGTAAGAGTGCTCTGGATGTTACGGTGAGGAGAATGGGATTGTTGCTGCAGATTTGCAGACTGACGCCGTGATAACATGCTGTATGGGAGACTATAAACTAAATGAACAAGAGTGAGAAGTCACATTGACGGGGTTTTAACAAATGTAGCTGTTTTTAGCTCTCAAATGTGAATGAGGTGATTTGTATTCCTCAAAACTATTCCTGCTAATACTGCCTGAATTTGCATCCTGCCCACCACTATTACTAATCCTTCTCGTCAGTGAGATTAGTGAATGGATGGGAGAGGAAACGCAACTATCTGACACGTTACAGTAAAATCATTAAAATAAATAAATCCTGTCGTAACAGCCGCTCACATAAACACTGTAACAGACCTTCCGAATCAGCAGAGGCTGTAAACACAGTAGGAGTAAGAGATAAGATAAAGTCTTTCCATGGAAGCTCTTCTTCAGTTTCCGGTGCTTTTGCTCCACATTTTACTCTCAGTGAAGCAAACATGACCTTTCTTCAGTGTTGTAAATGTTGACAGACGCAATGTAGCACTTCAACAAGATCCAGGCAAGAGCCAAAATCCAAAAAGAAATAAAAACCCCAAATCATCAAACTTCAGTAGTAGAGCCGGGTCGGTGGATAGGTCCACACAGGCAGCAGATTTTGTAACAGAGGATTCAGAGTGTGCGGAAAATGCCCAGGAGTTGTGGGACAAGAGCAGGCAGTCCTGGTGTACTACAGTACAATGGTGGGGTTTGAAATGTGTTAAGTCAAACTAGTGCCTTTGCAGAAGTAGTTGCGTTAGTAGCTGAGTGTGCGGCTTGAGCGAGCAATCGTGAACTGGGTATCAATCCTCCTTAGAATTGTCAGTGACAGCAGCCGTAGGAGACAAGTCTGGCATACGGCTACGTCGGTAAAGACGGTAGCCCTTTCGGCAAAGAAGGACGAACCAGTAGACCTGCGGTGCCAGGATGCACGAGTTGCCCAAGTTGGTAGACAGAGGCAGGTGGAAGGGCACGCTGTAGAGCGGGATGCCGTAGTGGCGGCCGTACATCCAGTACATGTAGGGGAAGAGGGCGATGCGGCACATAAAGAAGGTGAGCAGTACCATACCGCCATTGGCCTTGTGCAGCCAGCAGTCCTGGAGGCTGAGCTGGTGGAGGAGACACAAACAAAGAGGGGGGGATGGAAACAGGACATGGAAGGTGAGAACATTTTAAGGAAGCACTTAAAAAAACTCAGTGAAATGAAAAATATAAAATGTTTCCTCAGGGTGAAAATCACCAGAGGCACCCCGATACGACATTGTCACAATATCTGGGTCACAATTAGGGTTGGGTACTGTTCATAATTGAACTGATACGGTACCGGTACCGGTATCTGGAATTCGGTACCGGTACCAAACAGTACCTTATTTCGGTACTTTTTAACCGTATGGGCCCTAGGCCTTTTTGGGGTATTTTTACTCTTTACTTTTAAGCTCATATCACAGTCATTATAAAGGCTACATACACATGTTATATCTTGTTTTTTTCAGGACAATCTGGGCTAACCAGATTTGCCATCATTTCATGTCCTTCTATGTGCCTGTATTTTATAATAATTTTTATATCAATGAAAAAACAAATCAGTGTTACTAAATTCTTACATTTTTACATGTATCTCACCATAGCAAGGTGGAAGTTAACATATTCTGCCATATATGAAGAGGGGAGACTCTCTGGAATCTGGCAATATAAGAACCATGATGCTGGGACATTCTGTCACTTAACAGCTGTCCAAAACATGTGGTTTGTGCCAGGCGGACAAGATTGACAGTATTTTTTCATTATTGCAAGAAATTCCATTGACTCATTCACAAGTCAAAAATGTGTTTTATCTGAAAGAAACATGCAATATTTACATCGAAGATAATAGAAAAATAGTCAACCAAGTGCAATGATGTCCTCCAAGATAATATTTGTTTTTCAGTTATATATTGGGGGGACATTTTGGGCATTGGTTGGGGGGCACGTGTCCCCCTCAATGTATATGGTGACTACGGCCCTGTCAGCATGCATAATTAGGCTGCAGTTGTCTGTGAAGTGTCTGGTCTTGTCATACAAAGTTTGATGGAGTGTCAATGGACAATATGGAGATGTTTGCATCTTGAAAGCCGGACTACAAATGTGGATAGACAGGGAGAAACACACGCAAGCCTAAGACGTGGTAAGATACGATATTCCTCACTATATGAAGTGACTGATAACAAGATCTGTACAATGGATTGTAAAGAAATTCATCAGGTTTTTATTTTGTAGACAATTGATCTGGATTTATAGCGTGTCCTGCGCTTTCATGTGATATGCATGGCATTTCTGTGCGAGCCTGCATTCGCGAGTAATCCATCCAAGAGTAATGTGTGTGCAAAGCTGTATGAAAGCTCTGTTATACATCATTTTATTGTAACTTTATCAATTTTTTCGCTGTGAAAACATTGGACTACCGACAAGTGCTTGGCCTTGTCGGAAAGCTACAGTTCTGCCGTTTCACGTGATATGCGTGGCTTCTCGCTATGACGCACGGTCGTGGAGAAAATACACAGAGAAGAACGGGTGTGAATTTGGACACACTATGCGTCGTTCGGGCCCATAGTCTAAACTTCTCAGTTTCAACATTTTATTGAGAACATTTAGGAACAGTGGTGCACGTTAACTTTTGTCTGCACATTTTTTTTGTTGCCATTGTTGCTGAGTCTGAGGTGTGAGTCATGCACTCTCGCTCCGCCTCCATCTCAGGTACCGAAATTTGGCACCGATTCATTTTAAGTGAATCGGTACTCGGTAGTACCGACGTGAATAGGTACCAAGTACAAAAAGTACCGAGTTTCGGTACCCAACCCTAGTCACGATACAATATTAGTTTGTGGTCCAAAAGTGGGTTGCAAGTCCATTATGAATGGAACGCAAGTGTTTGTAAACAAACTTCAAATTTCAGGTGTCCAGAAACTGCGTACAGATTTTCATGGTCCCCAGAGGATGAATACTAGTGACGTTGTGACTTGTGAATACAGTGAATCTGGGTCAAAATTCCCACTCCAACACTAATAACTAAAGCTGCACTTTGAGATTCATGGTAACACAACATACAAACATCTCAAAGTGCTGGTGACAGCAGTGGGTTAGAACTTAAGTGAACTTTGGCGTGCAAATAAGCACTGCTGATACTGATCTTTGAGAGGACAAAGATTTGTAAAGGGCTGCAGATTTGTTTCGGGGTGCCACCTTCTGGTATGACAGGACTTCAACATTAGCATGTTTACTGTTGACATGCACATAACTTTTAGCATATTAGTATGGTAACATTGAGACGCTAACATGCTAAACATTAAGTGCATGGTCATTTGCAAAGCTGATAGAAAGCACAGCCTGATGATATCATAAAATAGTGTAATAATTATTTCATTTGTTTATTCGTTATTCTTTCTATCCATCTTTTTTCACCCGCTTATCTGGGGTTTGGTCGCAGGGATGCAGGCTGAGCAAAGCACCCCAGACGTTACTCTCCTCGGCGACACTTTCTAGCTCCTCCTGGGGGACCCCAAGGTGTTCCCAGGCCAGACGAGATGTATTATCCCTCCAGCGTGTTCTGGGTCTGCCCCGGAGCCTCCTACCAGTGGGACTACCTGGAACACCTCTAACAGGAGGTGCCTAGGAGGATCCTAATCAGATGCCCGAACCACCTCAAGTGACCCTTTTCGACGCAAAGAAGCAGCGGCTCTACTGCGAGCTCCCTCTGGATGTCTGAGCTCCTCCCCCTATCTCTAAGGCTGAGCCCAGCCACCCCAAGGAGGAAACTCATTTCGGCCGCCTGTATCTGCAATCTCATTCTTTCGGTCACTACCCAGAGCTCATGACCATAGGTGAGGGTTGGGACATAGATGGACCAGTAAATCGAAAGCTTTGCCTTCTGGCCCAGCTCCCTCTTCACCACGACGGTCCAGCAAACTGCCGATCCATCTCACGCTCCATTCTACCCTCACTTATGAACAAGACCCCAAGATACTTGAACTTCTTTGCTTGAGGCAGTAATTCTTTCCCAGTTATATTTTCTATCAACTTTTTGTTAAAAGCATTTTTTGTATAAAGAATACAGTGAAAACCCCACTTATTTTCTTCAAAGGAGCAAGATTTTAGTGAGCTCTAAATTCCTGGGTTTCAAGTGTTGTTGCTACCTCTTCATTCTTAACAAAGTCACATCAAACACAAAAAAATTATATGATTTTAAGATCTACCTCTTATTTTTGAAGTTAAAGTCTAGTAACTCCTGGTCTGCACATCAGTGATCATTAGGAATCAACACTGCTCCTTTAGTGCTGATCCAGGCCAAAGGAGGGCAGCGTTTTTTTTTTTAAGACAGAGACGAGCAGTGGAGCTTTACTTTGCTCTTTTTCTCTGCTGACACCAGATGTCAGCAAAGACCTGAAAGCCCACGGTCCACTGATTTCACTGGGCTCCACAATAAGGCTCTTCTATTCTTAGATTACGGCTTTGCTAAAACACGCAGCCTCTGACTGTACAGCCCACATGTGCTTGCCAAACAGCAGGATGTAACGGCCACTGTATTATGGGTGGAACTAATGAGGGCATTAACTGCTGTTAACGGGTTAAGGGGCAGAAAGAGTGAACAAGGCCAGGGCCTCTTAGCTGAATGCTACTGACTAATGGTTTCTTTTTTTGTTGTTTTTTGGGTGAGCCATGCACCTTAATTATTGATGGCACAGTGACAAGCTACATCCCAAATGAAACACAGATACTCTGGTTTTTGATGATGCAAGACACTGAACGTGACCTGAGCAGGAAGAGAAAAAGGATGAATGACTTTCTTTTGCCCAGGCAGTGAGTCATAACATGGATGCTACCTGGCTTCAGTTCATCTCACATAAATTACATGTAAGTGTGAAATATATAAAATAAATGATAAAAAAATAATAAACAACATGTTTTTTTAAGAAATGCACTATGACTTTAACTAAACCTGACATTACAAACAACAGTATCTCTGATAGGCATTTTTGTGTTTAACAAAATCTAATAGCAAAGTTGAGGTGTTAAATTTTATAACATGCAAGCATCATTTGAAACCCTAATGGACCTTTTCAGATAAGTTATATGAAAATGGTTCAGCTCATTAAATCAAGACATTTGTAGCAGAAGTCGTAGTAGCACTGAAATGGTTGATAAATTAAAGGCAGCACTTATTGTACTCATGAAATTATAGATGAACTCTGCATATATCCTTTATTTAAGATCTTTTTGACCAAGGTACATTTAGCACAGGTTCTTCCTTATAGGGCATTATAAGTATTTGATTTTCCAGAGCAAGTTTCCATTTCCATTGCAACATAAACAGTGGACTCAGTGGGATACACATTTTCTGCATGTATGGAAAGCAAGCATCACACACCTTGGACGACACGTGCAGTCTACAGTGCTGACTGGTGGCAGTTTTGACACTTAAAATTCGTACTAATCCTTAAAACAATTGTTCTCTGAGTTCAGACAGAGGAAGACAAAAGCAGCCTCTCAATTTTCAGCGACTGCCGGTGTTTGTCGACTGAAAAAACAACTTTCACAAGTAGATTTTATCTGCTGTAGTTATTAATTAAGCCAACGTGAGCTCCATGAGTGGATGGCCGTCTCTGGGAACTGAATGTTCCCAGTTGAATCGTTTTAAAACGAAAACCATGTAAATGGCGAATTTTGATGCTTTTAGGTATCTTTAAAAAGGCGGTTACTAACAAGTGACTAAATGATACTACAGAACATCATCACACTTCAGAGAACCTATGTGGTGGCAATGTTGAGTCATGCCACCGTGATGTAGTTCGTTTATAGTCTGACATTAGCTTGTTACTTCTGGTGATTGCATTTAGGGTTCAAAAATCATAAAAGTGGTGTTCATTTGTGAAGATTATCTTGCTGAACAAAACATGCGAGGAACAAACTTTTGTTTGTTACAGAGCTTATTTTCTGAAATAATCCAAATTCTAATGGGAAAAAAAGTCCTGTAGGCTTTTTGTCAAGGGAACCAGGGTGAAGCTAACTTCTGCATCAGCCTACAAAATACCATCATCCCTGATGCACTCTTTATGCTCTGGAATAACCCTGTTTGGCTGTGTAGCTCACACACTCTGATTTATGTGTTTTTGCACCTGTTTTTGAACTGTATGTTTCACTCATGATGTTAAAGGAGAAATAGCTCTATGCTGTGATTTCTGGAGTGTGAACTTTCCCAAATGCGACAGGACAGAGCCTCTAATGTTATACCAAACTTTGGATAGAGTAGCATTCAAGACCGGCTTGTACAGAGTGGGGAAATTCTGCACAGTGGGAGTGCTGACTGGGAACAGGGTTGTTTAGCAATTCTCCCCACAATCTAATGTAGTTAATGATATGATCATTGGCCTTGGAAGTAATGCTTGGTTTCTACTCTAGATAGAAAGCTAGTTAGCCGGACGAGAGAAGGTTTGCAGATTATGTTAAGAGCAGACAAACACTGTTAGCTCTTTATCTTAACACTTTTACTTGTGTTTTTGGAAGGGCTTCTTTTACTGTTGGTAAACAGTATGATGTTTTTGGTGGGCGGGGCTTAGCTGGAGGCAAAACAATTTTTTGACATTAGCTTGCACGAGCTAGCAAGTCCTGTTGGCTTGTTTTAGACAGTGGAGGAAGATGATACAAGTGTGGCATTCAGAAATACTCATTCTGAGTGCAAGAGCAAACACTCTGTCTGAATGTACCGTTCAGTTATCCAGAGCACTGCACTCTCAGAGTGGCAGAGCGCATTCTGGACACTCTGTCTGTGGAGACGGAGCAGCAGACCGCCGAGCGCTGAGCGCAGTGAATGTGTGATTAACTTTACTGTTTGTTAATTCATGTAGAAATATAACGCTCTGTTTCTTTGACCAACCGGGCTCTCATTTTAGTGTCGAGCATCAGACTGAATTCATGAACGCACGATGTCAAGTCACTCACTAAGTAAAACCTGACCAACCGGACCAGACTGGCCGACCCGTATGCTCTCACTCAGTGGATGGATGATGTCACTAGAAGCCAATCTTACAAAGGAGGACGACACTTGAACGGTTTCCTCCAGTTTGTTTTGCTATGGAAGCTAACGTTAGCTAATGTGCTAAAAAGTTAGAGTTACAGAGAAATCCAATATTCCTCTTAATCCCTCCCCAGTTTCTGATGAGGTGGACATGATAACCCTTAATACACATAACGTTATTCATCCCTAAAACAGGAAATACTTTTTCCCTAACCTGATATGAAGTGTGCGCTGCACATGTGAGCATTTTTGATGATGGCCTCCGTCCAGTCCTTTGGTCTTATCGCATTTAACCATAGTTTTGAGCCATGACTCCTTCTATTCTGGCTCCCAATAACACAACAAGATGCCATTTTAAGACTCCTGTGTAGCCTACAGCCCTGTGGTGGATAGTCATGTTTTGCCTCCAGCTAATAAAATAATGTCACCTTGATGTCGGCCCTCATGAATACCATTTCAGCTTGTGCATGTGTTGTGGTGGGTTGCTGCTTATCTACAAATGATTGCCCATCTTGGCTTTTATTGTAGTAAACAAGGTAATGGTGGCCAAACTTATAATAGTGTTTACTCTCCACATTAAAACCTTCTGCTCTGAGAGTTTTCCATAAGAGCGAAAGCATACTGTACATGACAGGTGTATGACTTGCCTGTTTCTGTCTGGTGACTGCACATGTGAACGCTCTGTCTCACCTGAATAAGTATCTTCCCCAGGGAGACGAAGGGCGTGCTGAGCTCTGTTAGAAACAAGCAGCCGATGAAGAAATCCCCCTGGTCCCTTCTGAAGAACTGAGGAACAGACAAACAGAGCGCACAAGCAGTGAGCAAACAAACATAAGCATGGGGAAAAAAACACAGCTGACATTCAAGGACAATTTCTGGAACAGTCTCAGTGGAAATATGCTAAGAGTGGCTTCAAAAGACATATCAGGTTTTAAACACGTGTTTCACTAGGCTGATTCTGACAGACTTGGACTGAAGGTGCAGATTCCTTAAATAGTCTTATATAATATTCTATACAGTGTGTTGAGAGAGGATGTAACAGGAAGGCTTGGACAGGATTGGACTCTCTGGCCTCTCTTCTGTTATTATCAGTCGACAGCAGCACTTTTGATGCTTGGTGAACCTGAGAGAGGTTACTGAAACAAAGCTAAGGCCGAAATGGCTTTGCTTGCCTCTCCTGGTGTTGCATGCTGTTACTGGTGTCTTTAATAAAAACTGCAAAAACAACTTCTGATCTAATTTGGCACAAAACAGGTAGTAGTGTGACAGCACAGAAAAACTAGACTTGTGTACGCCATAACTGCTGTATTGGTTTGTATTTGTGCCCAACCGTCACGGTACAGTGCACAAAGCTGCATGGAGAATACACGCTATGTAGAATGACGCATGTTATGTGGAACCAAAGTTTAAGAGCACGAGTTCTGCCTGGAGGCTTTTAGTACTACGCCGTTAGCAACATGTGCTGCGTTTAGCACAATAAGCTAATTGGTGTGAGAGTCAGTCACACGATGGTGAGCACAAATGAAACAGCGCAGCTAGATGACCTGCCTTTGGGTTGCCAGCAGGGTGTCTAACTATCGAGGCTGCCCCCTAATAGTTGACCAAATGTTAGTGAACCAGAAAGGTCATTAGTCGACAAGATTTCATTGGTCATTTAGTCGCAGAAAGAAAACAAATAAACATGAAACTCTATTAGGAGCTGTGTCTTGTCAAAATAAATCAAGACCTAAATGATTGGACCATGTGGGAATTAAATTTGAAAGGGTTAATTTCCAGGGCTGGTACCTGCGGTTGTTCCGCAGGCTAGTTAATAACATGTCGGGCAGGAAATCCAAAGTGTGGGATCATTTTGAGAAGGTGAAGGACGAACCCAAATACCAAATTCACACCAAACAATGACTCCTGAACCGTATCATGACTTCTGTGTACTGTAACACCCCAAATAAGCCAGGATGAAAATTGTTTGACTCATTTCATCTCTACCAACAGTCTACGTCTGTGACTCAATTTAAGGGAGGGAAGCTCCTATACATCTCACAGAGGTGGTGGCTTCAGAGGACCTGAAAGCAAGGCTGAACCTGATCCTCTGTTCAAATGAAGGCATCTTGCTTCACAGCTGGGTGGTTGGTCGGTTATCACCAAGACGTTTTCCTGAAACAGTCAATGTGTAAACACTACTTGTGTTGATTAAGGCTAAAGCTAGGGCAACTTTCATGACACCCCCAGTTTACAGAATGAGCTCTAATGTTTCACTTCAACACATGGTGGATAGCCAGCCAATAATGTGCCAGGTTAATGGTACAAACTGTACATCCATATGATTGATTTGATTTGTATAATACCCAGGCTGCAAAGAAGAGCCAACAGTGTTTTGCTGGTTTATGCAGGGATAAGATCTTCTGCAGTGGCTTTGTTATTGGCCCAATACAGGTGACACATTTACCCCTCACTGGTAACCACTAAAATCCAAATGCCTTGTAAACCTGACGTGGCTGTGTGATATTTCCCAACTTTATAAGTTGAGAAAGATCCCTTGACAACTCCAATAAAGTTCAGGCTCAGTTCAGTTCAGGCTTTATTTGTCACATACATAGAATCCATGTAGTGAAATGTAAACAGTCGGCTCCATGATGTATGAACACACAACAACTCTGACACAAACAACCAACAACAAGAGACTTGTTCATTGTGGAGGCTTCACATCTGTCCTACAGCCACAGGCAAAACAAGGCCGCACTTCTTAAGGCTCATTTATACTCCCTTTATGTATGAAAATAGATACGTTAGTTTCTGCCCTCATAATTCCATGCGCCCTTTAAGATGGCATAGACACAGCCAAAAGACAATGGAAGAGGTTGTAATTATGTACCTTTAAACTGAGGCAGCGTTGTAGACAGTGGTGCACTGTGAGGCCATTAAATACATCCCAACATGTGGATAGAGAATTCTTTTCACTGATTCGTTCCGTTCTGCCATCATTTAAATTCCTACAGTTGTATCTTGCTTGACTATGCTACACTGCCTCCACAATCTCTGGTGGTACTGCTTTGTTTTGTCCGTATCCGTTAGCTTGCAGAAGTACGGACAAAATGAACAGAGTACGGACTGAAACCTCTGTCCGTCTCTGCATCTAATGCTGAGCATAAATGAGCCCTTAGGCCCCGATCACACTGAAAGCTTTTGCAGGTTGCAAAATGTGAGGCCACCACACTGCCTTTTTTAATTGAATGCCGCTGATAAAAAAAAAAAAAAAAAGCTTACTGCATCTTTTTATCCTTACCAGGCAACCATGCCATCACCTCCTTACCTTAACCTTCCTGTGTAATCAATCTACTGTTTATTTATTTATTTCACATTAATTAGTATCTAGTTCCTGAAATGATCAGGCAAAGGGTACATGCTGTAGCTCTGGCTGAGGGTGAGAGGCTGTTAGCAAACTGGAGTACCACCAGTTGGTCCAGGAGCTTCACCTCGATGATGGTCAGGCATTTTTTAGGATAACTCGGGGGCAGTTTGACAACCTGCTGTCTATTGTCGGGCCGTACAGCTCTGGGTATCCAGCAACTGCTACCACCAGTTTCTCCTCCATTGTTTTCCAACTGTGAACTTGTTGTCGTGACCACCACAGAGGGCCCGCCTCTCAAATCATCCAATTGGACAATGGGAAAAAAGCTGAGATGACCTGGGGGTTTTTTTTTTCGCTCTGATTTAAAGTTTTTTCAATTCGAAGAGTTCAAGGTGCTCTGGCAAAAATGCCAGGCACCTGGAGTGCAGAAATGCAAGGCACACAGCAACACAAAGACAGCAAGCAAAAAGCTTTGTTCTCATTTAAAACAATTACAAAGAGCTGCCTCCAGCTGCTGAAACTCTTTCTGTGTGATTGGGGCCTTGGACTCAATTTTGGCAGCCTTTAAAGCATGTGGCTCAAATGCAGACGGTGAAGTATCAAGATCCATGATGTCAATCTACATCAACACCAATCTCGACAAGCCAGTTGAGCATCATGCTACAAACTCTGAAAGTAAATGTGTGTATTTCATTTTTATTACAATAAATGCTTTCAAAAGTCAACCAAGGTTTGGTTGCCTCTTTCGCAAGGAATAACCGTACAAGTATGTCCTGCACTCTACTCCACATGCACAACTTTGCACTGAGCATGCTTCAATCCAAAATTAAATTTAGGTGGATTAAATTTAAGATTGACCCTTTAGCAGATATTGGCACGACAAAGGCAGATGTCTTTTCTGCCACAACTTCAACATGGCAAAGAAAAGGCAGCATGAGGCGAGCCAGAGCTGATGTCCTGTACATAAGTAATGAATGAAGCTTTCAAATATTGACCAGCGGCACAGTGCTGTGTAGTTAGAGAGGCCATCCTAGAATAGGTGAGTCAGTCTAGATGGATAAAGAGACTCCAGACAAAAGACAAGCACTGTCTGGTAGCCCAGCTTGCTGTGTGCTGATGATGAATAAAGCATGAGTGGCTCCAGACGTGGCCTTGCCATCTGCCCATGAAAGAATGAGCTGAGACCACAGAAGGGAACTTTACACCACGCCTAACCGGCTACCTAGTTACCTCACCCCACCACCACCTGCCATGGGCGTTACCTTGTGTGTTACCTTTGTCTGTGTATGTTTGAGGTGCTGCATGAGGCAGAATTTAAATTTTTCTCTGCACGTATTTTACCTGTCAAACACATACTGAACAGTGTATCTTACGGATGATGCTTACAGAACAATCAGAAGCCACATAAAGCTTTCTTAAAGCAGTTTTAATCCTATAACTGTAATTTGAGATACATCTGAATGTGATAAAACTGACCTGAGCTCTTAGCCGCAACACAGTATTCTAATGCACCACTCCCCTCAACTAGTTTGCCTGCAGCCACTAAGAACAATAGGTGTATTTGTGGTTGCTAACGTCTGATGCTTACCATCTGTCCAGCGATTTATTTGAACATTCTACCACATACATTAGCCTGCGTGCAAATTAGGATGCATTTACAATAAGAGAATCGTGGTTAGCCACTCGCTAAAAGCTGGACATTAACATAAAATCAGTCTCATGTATCACCAGCAGTCTTGACAGGATGTTGATGCAGTGAACATTAAATACCTGTATTATTACAGGGCTAAAATATAATGATCTGTTTGTAGTGACGGCAAACTAATTATAATAGCCCAGTTGTGCTTCTCGCCAGTCGTATTCCAATTCGACCCTGGCTCCTTCTGGGTTGATCTGAGGTATTACCAGGTCAGTGTGTTCTAGGTCTGCATCCAGGTCTCCTTCTAGTTGGACGTTCTCAGAATACAGACAAAAGGCAGTCTCCAAAAGGCATTCTGATCTGATGGCCAACCCATCTCAACTGGCTCAGGACCAGTGGCTTCACTTTTACCCCTTTCCCACCAAGTTAGCTCAGGTTCTTGAACTTGTTCCATTCATGGTTCCTGGAACCTTGGTGTTATCTAATGAACCAGCTCACGTCTCCACCAGTTTTAAGGGGAACCACTGTAATCACACAATGCACAACAGAAGTAAACAAAAGCAGCAAAATAACTAAGGCTGCCCCCTCATAGACAAGAGGGGTGGCTTACGACACCACTTATCACCTACCTACAATGCAGTCTTGGGATCCCTCCCCAGACGACTTCACACCCATTCACCCCTGGTCCCACCTGACCCTAACGACTCACATGGTGGCCAGGTGGGCCAACGACTCACACTGTGACCTTAACGACTCTGAAACTAAAAGCTCACATGTGACCCCTAGGACTCTGCAAGGGTT